CTCCCCCACCCCTGAGTGCACAAATTTTTGTGCACCAAGCCTCTAGCGAGTAAAATAAGCATCAGATAAAGTTTCTAACAGGAAAAACCAAAACATTAAGATAAAGTCCATGGCTTCTTAAAATGACCATTCATACCTTAAGGGATAGAGACAAGATATTACAAACATGAAATAAGAAGAGAACATTACATTTTTTAAGCAAACAAAAGAAGCATCCTAATACAAACAGAAACAAAAAATGGTCTTGGATGTTGATAGCTGACATGAAAATTCAACAAAAAGATTGGACTATAAAACTGAACAAATATGTATAAATGCAAAAATACAAATGTTGGGAGAAAAGACAAAAAAAGTAAGAACATTATCAAAATAGTCCCCAAGTTCTAAATCCAAAACATAGATGTAGAAAGAGAGAAGAGAGAAAATAGAGAGATGGCATAAGTTGAGATTTCCAGAAAAAAAAAATTATGTCATTTGTTTCCATATTGAAAGAGACCTCAAATACCTGGAAAAATGTGTGAAAATAGAGTCATACCAACATATTAAGAATTTTAAGGACACTGGGTACAATGAAAAACTGTGCAAATTTTGAAGGGGATAAGAATCCAAAACAAGGCTGGTTAAAAAAATAAATAAATAGTTACCACCAAACATCTTTAAATATCATGTCTTTTAATTATACACAGTATGACTTGGAGAAAAAGAAATTATTTTTTAAAAAACATGTTAAAAAATAACAAGAATCTAAAAAGAGAAAAGGCTAGTGTGTTTTAATGAAATAAAAAAATAATGATTGTAAAACTGTGAGCCAAATATTTTCACAAAATTGTCTTTTACATGTATTAATAATTATTTATACATATATATAGTTTACCTCTATTGACATTTATTTTAAAACTAGAAAAATATATAAAACTAGAAATAAGTTTATAAACAACTTGTAGTAGACATTGCTGGTATCCCACCTGGTTCCTGAAGATTTTTACCAGCTCTCTGCCCCCATCAACCAAATTCTGAATTCTTGCTGTTCATCTTCCATGTGAGACCTTCAGATGATTACCCTTGGGTCCTGGAGCCTCCTCAACCTTACAGGAGAAGTATCTGGGAGCTTATAGCTCATCCTAAGGACCGTATAATGACTAGTATGGGAGTCAAAAGCCCAGCATCTTGGCATCATGACAAGACCAATTCTGAGATGTGATTTATGCTCCAGGACTTTCTGCAGGATCAGGTAAAGTCTGGGACTGTACTTGAAATCATACCCTTGCTGAGCTTCTTCTCTTTTCTTATCCCACTTGCCCTATTCTCTTACTGATTTTTCTAACTGGGATCACTTCTTAATAAATCACTTGCAGTGAGATTTTGGCTCAAGGTCTGGTATTAGGAGAATAAAACACTCTTTTGGTGTACTTAGGGAGAAAAATTGATGAAAAGGCACTGATTTGCCTACTAGCAGAAATTGTGACTTGGTTATCCCTATGTAATAGCACCAAACTCAGTGCCAAACATATAATAAGAACTCAACCACCTAAATATAAATGGCCATATCTCAAGGGAATACAGTATTAACCACGTGATCAAGTATGTTCAGTTGCCTATTGCTTACCCTCTGCTTTGCCTTGACCAAACTTTAGTCAGCCTTCTCTTTTTCCTACAGCCCCCTGAACTCTGCTGTCTCCAAAACTGAGCAAGCGCACACACACACACAAAAGAAAAGGAAAGGAAAGGAAAGGAAAGGAAAGGAAAGGAAAGGAAAGGAAAGGAAAGGAAAGGAAAGGAAAAAAAAGGAAAGGAAAGGAAAGGAAAGGAAAGGAAAGGAAAGGAAAGGAAAGGAAAGGAAAGGAAAGGAAAGGAAAGGAAAGGAAAGGAAAGGAAAGGAAAGGAAAGGAAAGGAAAGGAAAGGAAAGGAAAGGAAAGGAAAGGAAAGGAAAGGAAAGGAAAGGAAAGGAAAGGAAAGGAAAGGAAAGGAAAGGAAAGGAAAGGAAAGGAAAGGAAAGGAAAGGAAAGGAAAGAAAAGAAAAGAAAAGAAAAGAAAAGAAAAAAAGAACATTTCTTCTTGGCTTTTCCTGTGAATTAGCTTATTCCAGTGCGATGCTTTTCCCATCAGTCCCCACTGGTCATTTTCCCATCCTTGTCTAGTTTTCCTTCTAAAGATTCTGCTTAGCTCTCTCCACTTGCCCCTCCATTACCTTATAAAGTAAAAAGCTTTTTCTATTTGATTTTGAGACACTTGCATATTTCAGAGATCAGAGAATTCTCCCTACTGCAATAGTCCCCTACAACTATTTCTGTAGTCTCTTTCCCTCACTTGCGATAATCACTCCTAGTAAAAGCCTCTCCCTCCTAAATCCTGACTTGATTTTTGTTTTTCCACTGAAGTGTTCCATGGGGTACTTTAAATATCAAACCTTTCCTGGAAAAGAAAAGCAATTAAAAACATTTTCATGTCTTTTTAAAAATGTTAAACATATTATAACACTTTTAGATGAACTTGTTTCTTTCATGAAATAATTATATCTACTAAATAGAACTTACTTTCCAAGGTCACACACCATTTCTGGCAATTTGGTTGAATTTGGGAGTTCGACAGTAAATTTCAGTATATACCAGAACTCTAGAACCTTATCAGGTTGAAAAATAATGCTGGTGGAGAGAATATACAAAATTTATCAGTCACTTTAGTTTGTATAATAAATTTGGCAGAAAAAAATATCCCAAATACAATATTTGACAATGACTCTGTGACACATTCTACTCTCATTATAGATATATTTAAAATTTTTTTTTCATTTTTGGTGAGAAAATCATCTCATTATTAAAAAAAAACAACAGTGCCATTATTAACATCTGTTTAATCAAAATACCTGTTAAATCAATGAACAATGTTTAAACCTAAATAATTCAAATACCTTACAGAAGTTAAAATAAGAAAAGTTCTGTTTTCAAAGTGTGATTAAATCAAAGTTAGTTTGTCGATTAAACACACGTATTTTTTCATGTGAAAGCTATGAAGTGACATGCAGCCCTGGACAGTTTCCTTTATAATCAACATGCTCTCTTCTATGGGGGAGACAGTGACAGAGCAAGTGACAGTATAGCTGGGCTGGTATCTCAGCTCTTCTTTTATTTGTGCGGACTTGAACAAGTCACTTAACATTTTGAGCTTCAATTTCATCATTTATAAAATGGGAGCAATTATTCTTACTACTCTATCAGGGTTACTATGAGAAATTTATGTGTGTATGTATGCAAAATACATGCCTCAGTGATGATAACAGAGTAAGCAGTCAATAAGTATTACCCAAAATTATGTCTTCTAACGTGTGCTGATAAAGAAAATTCAAGATTCATTCTGTGTTTACAGCACACTGGAGAGAGGAGACTGGCCCACATTTACAATGGTAATTTATCAAGAAGGTATCTTTTATAATATGTCTTTTATTTCTGCTTCACGGTACAAAAATTTTATCCTCTAAAATTTCACACATATATTTATTTAATCATCATTCATTAAAATAAGAATTATTCTAACTCTGAAAGAGCATATAAACTAGCAAAAGTAATTTTAATGGAATAATTAATGCATTTCATTATAATTACTATACTTAGTCTAATCTTTAAAACTATAATAAATAGCCGAAACCGGTTTGGCTCAGTGGATAGAGCGTCGGCCTGTGGACTGAAAGGTCCCAGGTTCGATTCCGGTCAAGGGCATGTACCTGGGTTGCGGGCACA